GTAAGAACACTTAACCTTTTGGTTGCGTAACCACTCAGCATCTACTCAATCTAAGTCAATACATTGTTTTCAAGTAGCTGGACGAGTAGGTTTTTTTTTTTTTTGAAAGAACACCACCATGGCTTATCAGTCGTATCATACCCTTGAAAGTTTCGTAATCACTAGATTCGTACCGAGTTAAAACAATTAGTACCCAATCAGTTAAGTTGTTTCGTACCCATACCATTTAATGACGTTTTCTATGTTAGGTAATGATACGTTTAGTCTGTGGGCAATCAGGCCTGATTATTGACTGCTCAGGCATATAGTGTACATAGTTTCATTAACATAAACAGCTTATGTCATGGTTATGTCTCAGCAACCTTCAAAACCGTGAAAATCTTGGTGAATGAAAGAGCTGACTTTCGTTGTTGACGTTTAGACGATTCCATCTTAAATCATGCAGGAAGTAGTTCAAGGGTCTGTGATTCCCGCTTAATTATTTTAATAAGTAGCTCGTTTCCGTAATTCCTGCAGAGGCAGTGGCCAGTCTTTTCAAAGTGGCTTGCTCGTTATATAATTAATTTGGCTGCTAGAAATACTTCAGCAACTAAATCATGGCGCTTGTCGTCATTGCTGACAGATGCTGTTTAAGCAAAAAAAAAAAACTGCTTCAGGTTTACACTGGTAGTTACTGGCGTTTTGATTGCCTCAGAACCTTGAAAAAACAAGAGAAAAATGTTCTTAAATAGTTTTTTTGGACTTGATAATTAATGCTGGCTTCTTACTGCACGTATGTCAGTGGTTTTTCGGGTCAGTATCTTTGCTCAAGAGTAGATATCGATTTCGTGAAGAAAGAAAAACTGAAACATGTACTTCACATTCAACTGAGTGCCATTTTTAATTCGTTTTGTAATTTAGCATAGTCTGTAAGCAGCCAGGGGTAACAATTGACTGNNAGCTTATGTCATGGTTATGTCTCAGCAACCTTCAAAACCGTGAAAATCTTGGTGAATGAAAGAGCTGACTTTCGTTGTTGACGTTTAGACGATTCCATCTTAAATCATGCAGGAAGTAGTTCAAGGGTCTGTGATTCCCGCTTAATTATTTTAATAAGTAGCTCGTTTCCGTAATCCCTGCAGAGGCAGCGGCCAGTCTTTTCAAAGTGGCTAGCTCGTTATATAATTAATTTGGCTGTTCTCCAAGACGATCGACCCCTAACTTTTAAAATAATTAAGAGAAAAAGTGTCCAACACTACACCCATAAGTGCTGTTACGGATGTTTACATCAAATAAAGTCATTTTCAGGGATTCTTTACGGATGATTTATATACGGCGCAGCATCTAATTATTCTAAGCGCGCATTAATATAATTTTTAAGGTTTTCAAAAGTATTTTTTCGCCAAAAACATATTTATAAGGAAATACTTCAGCAACTAAATCATGGCGCTTGTCGTCATTGCTGACAGATGCTGTTTAAGCAAAAAAAAAAAACTGCTTCAGGTTTGCACTGGTAGTTACTGGCGTTTTGATTGCCTCAGAACCTTGAAAAAACAAGAGAAATCTGTTCTTAAATAGTTACTTTGGACTTGATAAATTCTCACTGCACGTATGTCAGTGGTTTTTCGGGTCAGTATCTTTGCTCAAGAGTAGATATCGATTTCGTGAAGAAAGAAAAACTGAAACATGTACTTCACATTCAACTGAGTGCCATTTTTAATTCGTTTTGTAATTTAGCATAGTCTGTAAGCAGCCAGGGGTAACAATTGACTGGTCAAGCATGAAATAAGATGTATAAATTAAAGCCCCGATTTTAATTCTCGCTTAGTCCGGTATAATGGCTGGTTTCCTAAACAGGAAACTGGAAAGGCTCAATTTATTTCGAGTGAAACTTACCATTCAGATCGGCAATGTTTGCTTTAAATAAAAAAAGCATTCTCACTTTCGATCCCGCTCACTGTTTTCTTTCCAGAAAGGCCTCTATTGACCAAACTTCTGTGATTTGCATGGTAGATGTATCTCAAACGATATTTCTTGTTTTTTTTTGTTTTTGTTTTTGTTTTTTTTTTGTTTTTACTTTTGTTTTGTTTTGCTTTGTTTTGTGTTGTTTTGTTTTGTTTTGTTTTTTTGTTTTGCGCAAAGAAAAATCCCTACTTACCGCTCATTTTAACGGGAAATTCTCTGCTTCAGACTGGCGCAAAGTTTAATACCTCTTACCTTCATTACACTTTTAAGTTTATTTTCTGTTCTTCTGCTTCAACTTCGTTTGAGAAAGTAGCTGGACTTCTGCGAGACGCAACTATGAAACACGCAGACGAAAGGAAAACCCATGGTGTGGCTTATTTTAGCGGGAAATTCCCGACTGTGGAGAAACAATAGTGCTTACGTTCGCACAAAACATTCTCAATGAAGATCATGTGCTAGCTTGACTGATGTAAAAATAACCAAGGCGTCAGTAGTCGATAACTACTCATAACTCTAAGACGCAATTGTATCACACTACCTGTAGACTTCAATTTGTTTGAAACCAGGAGATCAATGATCTAACAAATAGTTTCAACTGAGTAAGAGAACACTTACAAGTTCTTGTGAGAAATAAAATGAGAAAATTATTTTAGCGAAGCACGTTAACAAAGAGGAAGATGATCAAGAGTTCGTCTTGCTCAGAGATTTTCAAGAGATTTTTTTTCCTCGCTACATTTCCTCCTTTTGGTTGCGTAACCACCCAATTTCTACTTGCGAGGAGATGAAAAGTTATCAATCTTTCACTGCAAAACTGGAATCTATTTGCACCAGAGTACACTTACGAGCGGGAT